TATAAGGTCGGAAGTTGGGAGTAATATATAACACAGCAGAAATGTTAGGGTGGTTTCATTTCATCTCTACTTCATGAATTAGAAGAACTTTTAAGGGTAACTGCCTTCCCACAACTGGCTGCAGACAGTGAAAGGCAGTAGGAGTTGAAATATTGCGAGTGAAAGCACTCAACTCCATACCTTAATTGAGTTTCCACAATTACTGGCTAGTTTAACATCAGCATTTGGGAACTTTTACCACAGACAACATCCATTATGACTAAGATGACTGGGAATTACAATGGATTTTACAAAGAACTTCTTAATGCTTATTTGATATTAAGTTCACTATTATTTTATAGTGCCGATTTTAATCGCCTATTAACAATTAATGTAACGAAGCTATTCATTTCATATTTTAAATACACACATGAAAACCAATAACTCAAACTTACACCTATACTCCCAGTCAAGAAGTCCATTAGTATAAATAGGCCTTGTTTGATTAAAATAAAATCTTTTCTACAACCTCTAATAATGATGACATGGTAACTGCCACGGGGCCACGTTTTCACTGATATTGTAAAGCCATAGTTATGTTGAATAAGCTGAAGAGCTTGAGATGTAGTGTCTGGTGGTGATGGCATCACAGAAAATGGCAGTTGAAAAGAAAACACAAGTGGCAAAAGTTCCTGGAATCAAACAAGAAATACAATAAAATTAGTAGCTAAAGATATACTAGCTGTTATGAAAACAGTAACAACTAAATATTACTCAAAAATGGAAACTTAATTAAAAACACAAATATACTGTTGAAATATTTTAAGCATAAGTTTTGGTGCAGAAATTAAAAATTTCTAAATAAATGGATGCTCAAATAACCATTTTATGCCTAGCCTTAAAGTAGATACAGTTCATTTTTATTATTTTGTCAGAAATAGCTACTATTCTTTATGAGGTTTTATTGTTGAAATATGAAAGCCCAATGATCAAATTATTACTGGAAGAAAATTAATAAACAAATAAGTCTAATATTCAAGGTATTGTGTTTTAATAATCCTTCAATGTCCAAAATTAAACAAAATGCTACACATGACTTTTCAATTAAAAAATCTATAAAAAAATATTAAACTAAGATACAAATGATAGAACAGTCGACTGCATGCCAAAAACTGGTTTATAACCAGATGTAGAAGAAAAACTTAATCACTAAAACAACTAAATGAAGTTTCACGTTTCAATAAAATTATCACAAATTAATATAAAATAAAAATATAATCCTAACACTCATCATTTCAATCAAATTTAAATTTTTTAGTTAGATTTGAGCAAACTTCATTTTCACAAGCTTTTCTCTTGGTTAATTTAAACCCATGTTGGTACCTATATAGATGAATCATTCATAACATTACAAACATAAGAATAAATCACTTATTCAATCTTTAACTTTCGCACATCACAGATGTTACATAAAAAAAATCCATAAAAAATAATAATAAAGTTCATTTTGAACACTTCTTTGCCAAACAAATTTATTTTACATTTTGTGGAATGTCTAGGTTCATATTTGTTGCTATATTTAATATGGAAACAGGGTTAATAGGATTAAGTACAACCAGTTGGAAGAAAGTGAACATTACAATTAGTTGAAGTGGGCAAGTAAGCAAGTTGCTCTGATAAGGCTATTTTTGGGGTTACAGTAAAACATTGACTAATCAATCCTTTTTTTTTGTTGTTGTTTCAAAAAATAATTAATTAATAGTCTTAGAATCTCTATTTATATATAATACATGGAGAATCCTCTTTCAGTAAGACATAAAATTAAATAGTCAATAGTTAGTATGCATTACTTACTCTTACTCTACATCTTGCTTTCTCTGCTCCTCCAGGTTGGCCAGCAATAGAAACCTGAAATATTTGAATATAACATCTTCAAGATTCTTTTTTTTATATTTTGTTAGTTTTTTTTGTTTTTTTTATTATTCTATGAATACCAAATCCACATAATGAAAAATAGCTAAATATAAAACATCACTAAGTTCCATTTCTGCCTCAGCAATTACACAATAATACAATCATATTTGCTTAACCCGTTGACCACCAGCTACTAACTTTGAGTAGCCAATGCAAGTCTTGCTATAGTTCATTCCAACAATAAAACTAGTGGATGAAACTACTTGAAACTTCATAAGAACTTTTATAAATGCATGTAGTTTAAGAAACATATAGCCTGTTACTTTTGATAAATTTAGTTATTTTGCATTATGATCTTTAATATCTTTAAAAATTACATTAGCAAATGGTATTTATAAGAAATGATTTGATATAATATCTGTGCCAGATTTGAACTTGTCACTTTTTATGTTTTAATACATTTTTTTTAAATCCCCATAAATTGTATCATCCATAAAATGCAAATTTTTATCTATTTTAAATTATTTTTTTTTTTTTAAATCACGTACCTTCTTATGGTTTCAAGTAATATACAAGACCTGAGAATATTTGTAGATATACCTAAACAATGAGTATTTTTATTTTTAACTAGGATTTTATGTTTATATGTGTACATAAACATTAATTTTGTTTTATGAATGTATATTTATTTCAAGTTTGTTTCATGGCAGCCATACTTTTGTTTACTGTGCCTCGTAAGGTTAGCAGCAGGAACTTTGTACATTTGCTGTAAACTATCATGCCTGTTGGTGGTCACTCTTGTTCAATCCAGCACATGCACATTTCAACATTACTGTGGATATGATAGCAAGAAAGCTTTTCAGTACTTGAATATCATTTCTTTGAACTTTCAAACAAGTTTATTTCAACATATGTCCGTGCATGTTGTTTCACTATACAGACAAAACTAATTACCACTACTAGCAAATGTATGCAACAGTTTTCAGTACAGGTGGTTTCAATAACACCACCTGACCCTAGTTACTTCATACATCCTGTTAGAAGAGATTACCAAATGATATAGACACCATAAATTGCAAAGAAAATTACTTTACGGCACTTAAAAGATTAGTCCTGGTCACATTCCTCTCATTATAGGCAAGATTTATGTTGGAATTCAAAACTTAAGCTCTTCAGTGTATTGAGACCCCCAACTGTGAGAATGTCATAGCTTCTCTGTATTATTCAGATGAATGTATTTAGTCTGTTTCATAACCAACATACGTGTTTTATTGTTGTCACTTGTACACTGAGTTTTAAACTATTTGCAAAATATCAGAATAAACTTTATATGCATCAGTTACTGTTTTAATTCTAAAGTAATAACAACAGAAGTGTGGGTCTTACTACAAAGTTAAGATTGTAAGAAGGAAAAATATAAAATTCTTATGTGGTACTGGTACTAGTAGTATTACGTACAAATCACACAAGTTTATCATTCTAAATACTGAATCATATTATTATTATGAACTAAATATAAAATTACACTAAATTATTGAACTTAAAACTACAAATTTAAATGCAAAAGAATATAAAAAATCACAAACTCTTTCAGTTCAAAGTGCTAAGCTTAATTCATGTAAAGACCTTGCACTCGCCACTCAATAGCTCTTAACCCTAACAATCGTGGATCAACTTCTTTCCTAAAATATATATATCTATTTTGAGTTAATTTTTCAATATAATGATTAATATAAATAAATATGTAATGCAGCATGACTTAAGCTACTATATAAAAATAATAAGTCACGTACATCCCATACAGATTTTCCAGAAGCAATTTTTCTAATGTTTATAGAAAAGCACTATTGACCAATACTAAATACAACTTCTACATAAAATGGCAGTTACTATAATAAGCACCACTCACATTCATATTGTAAAATCCAGAGAACAACGTTTCGTCACATGCTTTCCTTATCATCCTATGGTTTGTCAAACATGAAATACAGCGATTGGAATAACATGGTACTGAAATTTACACCTTCTACTAGGATTGGCTAAAAGTTTTACAACTGAGGTTTAATACACCCAGACGCTGTTTTATAAAGAAAACAGACTAGAAAAAGGATAGATGGCAGGACCAGTGCTGAAGTGGAAGGAAATTTTTTTTTAAATTTTGAAAAAAAATTCTTAGAGGGTGCTTATTTACAGTTTAAAACATTTTAGGATTTTTTCATTAAATTCCTCTTCAATTAAATAATACAATTTTGTACAAATAATTGAATGTTATGCTACTATTTACAAAAATAAAATAAAAAATCCAATAAAAGATAAGTTCTCTATAATTTTTTCAATTCACAAATGTGATTTTTGCCCTCACGATAAAATAAAATGGCCATGGTAGGTAACGGGTTAAAGCACAGAAACAACATAACAGAACTAATATTGCAGAAAAAATAAAAACAAGGTTCTGTATCTTCCTAATAGTCTCCAAGTTGCCCACTTCTCAACTACTATAGTTTTATTTTAGCAGTGTCCTCATCTTGTTTCCTTACTTGTGCATTTTCAGGATGATTAGGATCTTTCTCTCTCTCTCCCCCTGTCTGTCTGTGTCAGTTTTCTTCAATGTCAGTCATGTTAGGTACAGTGCAGTAGACTAACTCCTATATATTGTAAATAGCTTGCCCTACTTGAACATGACTTAATAAGCACTGCAGTAATAAGTATCCAAAAGAAAAAAATACAATTAAAATAACCTTTGACGGATATGCATACAAAATAATTTTACACAGTATTTAAGTACAAAGCCTTAACATTCTTCATTACACATTTATTATAAAAATGGTTTAACCCACAAGCTTTATATTTCACACAACTAAATTAACAAACTTAAGAATTCTACTGAAATTAGTTTCATAAATTTAAATCTTAGATTCTTATAACCAGTAACTGGCAGTCATGCAACTGATACTAGTGCTGTTCCTAGTCTCCTTTACATTGTAAATATTGTATTTTGTTTCAGCTTTATTTCAATTTACAAAAGTTTAGTTTTATGCCCCAATTTTTCTTAATTGATTAATAACAGTGATTACTTGATTCCCTTCTTTTTTCTTTTAGTACATATACTTCTTTCACTTCCACCAAAGAGTAATAAAGTAATAAAATGTGTTGAGAAATATAGTTTCATGCAGAAGACTCAGATCTTCAAAAGTTGCAAAAATCTGACAAGACCATGCATTAAGGAACTGTAATTAGCACAAATACCAAGCATTTAAAAGATCCTATCCAGTCTAGGAAACCCAGATAAGCAGATTAATCTAACAAAAGAATATTGGAAGGCCTGAGAACTGGCAATTCCAAACCACTTAGGGGAACACTAAGAATGAAGTCAAAGATGAGTCACAGAGAAGCTGTAGCTGCTCCACTAAAAGAACCTATTGACTTGGGTATCAGGTGACAATCCCAGGAGTTGCACAGGCAGATACTAATCCCTCATCTGAAGGCCATCTGCCTCACAGGAAGTAGAAGAGAATTTCTTTATTGGTGCTATCAGTGGCTTTCAAGTAATAACACTTATAATAAAAGCATAATTTTAGATAAACACTGCTTACAAAAAGTACAGTATTGTAACTTTATGCCATATCACAATGAAAGAAAATTCAAGCAAGTGAAAAAATAAACATAGGTTTTACTGTTCACAAATAACAAAAGAGAAAAATCTTCATAAAAAATCTATTTTCAAACTGTAAATGTAAAAAGGTAATAAAAAAAGCTATCAATCAAAATTTTACCTGGTTGCTCTTTTCAGCCAAACTGTTACGGTTGGAGTCTGGGAAATGAATGTGGCATCCTGTTTCATCCATTACCTTCTGAATGTTGTTTCCACCCTTTCCTATTATGTGGGAGTGGTCAGTGTGTGAAATGTCCATCTTTAAAGTAACCCTGTTTCGTTGCTATAAAAATAAAATTAAAGAAAATAAACAGTATCGTACTGCAATTTCCATCTGGCATCCACCCCTGTATGCAAGAGAATGTATTACTTTCAACCATTTAAAAATTAAAAACACATCCTTTTGATACTCAAAAAACATAAGCATTATAGTTGGGCAATTAACTTATTATCATCAATTATCTATGAGCATTGATTAGTGTCAGGCAAGATAGTGGACTAATCAAAATTTATGATTAAATCAATTAATATCATGAAAATATTCAATTAATCAAAATTGTCATTTCTGATTATTACCATTTCAATTATTCCAAATACCAAAGTTTCATGTGAGAATAATCAATCAGTTGAGTATAATAAATTAATGAAGCCCAACTATCAATTGATTAGATAATGTAGCCTGCAAATGAAGTATTAATTTTTTTTTTTTTTTTTTTTTTTTTTTTTTTTTTTTT